AAATAAATGTACAATTAAAAATAACACAGAGTAAAAATAAATTCTAAAATTAAATATGTTTAATAATTTTTTGTGGGCTATAATATTGATTCGAATTATTTATGACCGTAAATTATTTAAATTAATATTTTGGGTTAAATTAATCTTTATATTTAAAAAATAATAATTTAATTAATTATTATTATTATTATTTATTAACATCATTAACTTAGATATGAATATTTGCAATTTACTTCAAATAATACGATGAGAAAATAGGAACTCGTGGCTAAGCGGGGCTGGCGAAGTTAAATTTATCTTATTTTTTTTTAATTTAAAAATTAATTTAAATTAATTGTTAATAATAAAAAAATAATAATCAAATATATCTTAAAAAGTATTTAAATTAATTTGATGGGAGTTACTACATAGTCATTAATACGTCACGTGTCCTGTAATTGATGGGTTTGATTTAATATATATATATATATTATTCTTGATAAAGCAAAAATAAAAGTCACGTGTTTTACAAGGGTAAAAATAAATTTTTACTTAATTTTGTTAATCATACTTTTAAACAATAAACACGTTGATTTGGGTTTCGTGTGTGTGTATTTATATATATATATATATATATATGTTGTAATTAATGATGCAAGCACATCATTAAACATAATAATAATTAAAAATTTAAATATGGAATTAATTGTTGAATATTTTATATTATTTTCCACGTAGATTAATTAGAATAGAATATTATGAGAAATTTTAGTTAATTATTAATTTTACTATTTAATTACATGCTTTGGGTAATAAATCTGTAAAGTAATAATATTAATGAAGCAATTAACTATCACAAAACTGTTTTTTTTTAAAAAAAAAAAAAACTCAATTAATTTATGAAATTGTATAAAAAATATATTTATTAGGGGTATAAATTATAAATAATTTAAATTATTAAATATATAATTTATTTTTTAAAAAATATAGGACATCCTATTTTACCGACAAAAACAGATAAAACAAAAATTAAATTAAAAAAAAAAAAAGGAAAAAGGAAAACCCCCTTCAAAATTCAAAAACTACAACCACACTTATAAAAGAAAAAAGGAAAACCTAAGACAGATAAACCACCACCATCGCCTAACTAAAAGCCCTTGCTTGTCATTTGCAGAAAGCTACTTCACTCTCTCCTTCTTCTTTCATCTTCCTTAATTTTCAAATCCTCCCTTTCTTTTCGCAAAATCGTACCGAAAAAGGTATAAGCGTTACTAAAACCCAGGAAAATTCATTATTCTAAAATTTCTATAAAATCTGTCACTGTTTGTTCAGTTCCTTGTTGCATACGCCGAAATGGGTGTACCAAACAAGGACACAGATCAGGAGACTTGCAGCCACGGCTATGGACGCTGACCAAATTACTGATTCTGCATTATGGGAAAGACTGAGGAGGGGCAGAATCTGCCCGTGAGTGCGGGCACTGAGGACTTGGAGCGGAATGTGGAGCCTCGATTTCATGGGTGTGTATCTAAACGGATATCGAGGGTCATTGGGTTGAGGTGTATCTTGGTGCTGCTTTTGTCGGTCGGCGTGTTTCTCTCCGCCTTGTTTTGGTTACCTCCGTTTCTTCAGTTTGCAGATCAAGGGGATCTGGATCTCGATTCTAGGTTTAAAGGTGGGCTTTCTGCTATGCTCTACATCTCCTTCTTTTTGGTGGAGTTTTCTTGGCGGAATTTATGATGTTTTGGTTGTTACAGTTTCTAGACAAAGACAGATCTGGTTTTTTTTTTTTTTTCTCTCTCTCTCTTTTTGGCTGTTGTCTAGAGGGAATTTAGGGCGATGGATTTTTCGGGATCGGTGGCCTTAGCTTCCTTTTGGATGCTGAGAAAATGTTGTTAATTATCTGTGATCTTAGCCATTTTTAAATGGTAATTCATTTATTTATGACTTTCAATTTTGGGATTTTGATGTTCTATCTTTATTTGGAAGCCGTCAAAACTTTAAGTTGCATTTAACATCCATGCGTAAATTTAGGGAAAGACTCGGGATTAAATCTTCTGATTTTTTCTTCATTTAATGAAATAGATATTTTGCTATTATTTTGGTGTCAGTCTAGAATTTAGGGATTATGCTCTGATTGTAAATGCAGGTATTTTATACCTGAAAAATTCGTTAGTAGTGGAGTGGAATTGGAGGATTAGGGTTTGATTAAAAATATTTGTGTGATCTCAAGGCGGAAATAATCTTGTTAGTAATGAGCGAATTGGATGGTAACTAACAGAAATAAGTTGAGATTTTCTAATGTGAATAGGTGAGAATGGTTATTTTCGTAAGCTTGTCTGTATAGTTTCTTTTAATAGGGCTGGTGAAGTGCAGAGAAGCTAGGGCAACTTGGTTATTCTAGTTCTACTAACTAGTCAACCTGTTTCTAAATAACTTGACTTATTGTTACAGAACATCTCTGGCCTATTTTGGACCTCATATAGTCATATTTCAAAATCTGTAAGGATTTTCGCGAGTGTTTACCCTAGAACACTGTGTAATTTAATTATTTTCATAATTAAGGGTATGTTTGGAAAAAAAATGTTTTTTTTTTTTAAATTCATTTAGAAAATCTTATACTTGAGTCATTTCCATTCAGCATGCTCCTAAGGCTGAGTTTGGTTCAATTCTTAGTCAACCTTAGTTAAGTTATTACTGACTTTCTTTAAGTTCCTTGATTCTGGAATTTAGAGTGAGTTGGTGGTAACTTAAACACAGACATTATGTTCTTAATTGTGCAATGATAAGACATACGAAAATTAGAAGCAGCAGTTAAATTAAACAAAAATTAAGGGTATGCTAAATGGAAATGACTTAGAAACACAAGGTTTCTAAATGAATTCAAAAAATAATAATCCATTTTTTTCAAACATATCTTGATAATGGAATCTTCATAGGACTGTAGGGATCCAATTCCCCTTTTAAAGTGGAAGCTGAATTCCTACCATTGAAGAATTCAAGGTGGATGTGGTGGTTGCTCAAACACAAGAAATTATGTTCTAATTATGCATAATAAGAACTAACACAAATGTAGAAGTAGAAACCAAATCAAACACATTAGAAGTAAGACTAACAGAAATTACATTTGTAACAGAATTTGTATCATGGCTGTAGGAATTTAATTCCCACCTTTTAAAGTGGGAGTTGATTTCCTCCCATTAAAGGAATCAAGGTAGGGGTAACAGTAACTCAAACACAAGAAATTATGTTCTAATGCATAACTAGAACTAGGGGTTGATGTGAATTGACCAAACTATGAAGATGGTAACCAAACAAATAAATCAATTTTCTCTTAGACTATCATGTTCATTTTCAGAGTTCCTTCTATGATTGAATTTAAAATTTCACTTAGAATCAAGTACCATGTTTGACTAAGTTAAAAACTAAGATTTCCTGATGAGTTCCTCAGAAATAATTAATTTGTTCATCATTACCTTAAACTCAATAAACTCGACCCTTTAGCAAGGCCCTCCAAATTCGACTTCTATTGATGCTAGACAATCTGCTGGGTAGATACTGCATAAGCTAGGAGATGCATTACTTGATTTAGACCAAAAAAATGATTTCAGTTTTTACGAAGTATAGGTGCAATCTTTTTTACCTTTTATAGAGTGGATATGATAAGTTTTCACATTTCTGTCACTACCCCCTGCATAGTATGCACAAACTAATTTGTGATTTTTTGCTTCTCTTTTTAATATGGTAATTTACTAAACTTAAATGAGGTTTCCGTATACTCTTGTTAAGGTTTGATTGGTATCATGCCGTCAAAGGTTGCATTGACTGCTGTCTTATTATAGAAATACAGCTGAAGGCAATGAAGTTCTGGCCATATGTAACCCTTGTTTTGCTGGCATTTCTTGATTATATGGATGCTGGTCTGCTAACACATTGTCCTGTGAAAACTGAAATAAGTCATTGCTGTGCCACTTAATAAGTCAGTTCAAAATACTTATTAGGGACTTCAATTTTTTGTAACATTTTCTGGCTGCAACTTGGTTCTTTCTTTATGTGAGTTTATTTTTTAATAAATAGTGCAATATGTCCGTCCAGTACATTTTCTGTTCATTCTGCATGTCTAGAACTTAACCTTCTGTTGTTCATAAAATTAGTAAAATGAAAAGAAAAGGAAAAATATTTCTTGTGTTTGATTACAAAATTAGGAAAAGAAAAGAAAAAAGAGAGGATTGCCATAATCCTTTTTTGATATAGTTACATAAAAAGGAAGTATAGATTATGATGAATGTTTTAAGGAAAAAATGAGTGCTCAACACATCCCCTCTTTTTTCTTTTCCCCTCAATCCTCTCAAAATCTAAACACGGTATAAGTGGTTCACATTTTTTTATCTGAAAAAAAAGTAATGCACATTTAATTCACTGTTGTCAAAAGTTGTTTCTAGTTTGAGTTCAGCTCCCTACGTTTGGAGTAACTATTATTATGTGTCCCTATTATGGTGTCTAAGGTCCATCATTTAATATGATTTCCACTCTTGTGATATTTCTAATATATTTAAATATTCCACTCTTGTGATATGCTAA